CGGTGTTAAAGATTGAATCCTTCAGTGATGGTGTTCACCCAGCCCACTACATATGTACCTTCATCAATTTCACTTTCACTTGAAAGTTCTAGGTACAAAATGTAGTAGTAGTAGTCTTCTGCCTTCTCTACTCTATTACATGTATGCTTGTTCATGTAGTTAATTTGATGGCTTTATGTGAGTGCGCTTTGTATTTCAGTGAGGCACTAGTAAATGTGCATTGTACACATACTAAGTAATGATGCTCACTTGATTATTTTTGTAGGGAACGTGTATGTTCATTTCCATCGTTGTTTGTCTGGTTCCTGTAGTGGACTGTTCAGAGGCTGTGGGAGTTGTAGAAATGACAGAGGTTGTGCATTCTTTGTTGCTTACATTAATTTTATTACAATTACATGTATGCTACAAGTTGCAGTTTTCTCCTACATGTTTCCATATCAATGTATTATTAAACTCTTCTTAACATTTTGCAGGATGAGAAAGAGTTGTGTCTTGAAACGGCTCAGTTCGGCTCAGTTCGAAGACTTTGTGCTACAATTTATGGACAGGTAAATTCTTAAACTGATGACATTAGACTTACTTTAGACTTCTCATTTTGTGTAAGATATTTAGGTTTCTTTGTAGAACAGTCTAAGAAACAATGTTTACATATTTATACTTCATATAGCTGATCATCTTGTAATGGACAACTTCTGTGGACAGCCTTTGTCACGGCCTAAGCTACCCCCACATACAAACACTACATACTGTTGCAACAGGAGCAGGCGCCTCTGCTAAATGTATAGTGGAAGCCTGTTAGTCTGTATTAACAGGGTGGTGGTGTTAAAGGAGTTCAGTAAAAAGAAAATGACTGACTAAGCTCTTTTTCAGGCCAGAACAAAGTGGCCGTATTAACGAGCTGGCGGTATTAACAAGCTGGCCGTATTAACGAGCTGGCCGTATTAACGAGCTGGCCGTAAGGCAGGATTCCACAGTACAAGAAGTGTCCAATTCCCAAGAGTGTTCATTTATGGGAGGTTTTTTAAAACTTGGTAAGATAAAAGTGCTTTAAAATGTACTTTTATCTTGCCAACACTTATCGGATTTTTAAAAGGCACAGTGGTGCATCTATCCCATGGTTAGCGTAACAGACTTCTGATTGAGACCGTTGAAAGCTTCTCTATCGCGATTGTTTGGGCACAAATTCGAATGCTGTGCACTACATCTTACCACCCACATTAAATAGTTTAATGCTGCAACCCTTATCTAATACTAGTTAAATAGTTCTTTGTGAACCTAGGTGTATACATGTAAATGGGTACTGGAAAATTTAATGCTGGCGGTAACCCTGCAATAAACTTGCATCCCATCCAGGG